CTGACCGATTCACCCGATTCCCGATCCGGATCGCCGATTCGCCGATCCGGATCGGTTTTTTGGATGCTCGATCCGGGTCACCGATCCGTTTTTTAAACCATCGGTTATGAAAGTCAAAAAAAAATAAGATAACAAGCTGTCTATTTGTTTCAAATATCAAACATAATGAAAATATGTTTAAAAAACGTTAAAGGAGTAAAATGCGACCATAGAAAACGTTAAATTATTCGCAGCCCGTTCATAAATGGCCCAGTTCATGTTTTGTGGGGCTTAAGGTGAAGGCTAGGCCTAAGCCCAACTTTGCCTTATAACTAGGCCAATGTTGTGAAGTAATTTAATTTATCATGTTGGAGTAATTGTGATTATTGGATTGAAATCACTAATTATCTTTCTCCTTATGTTTATGAGAAAGTACAATAAAAATAGTCAAACAACTTAAAAAAATTAATAAAGTGGTTAAATCAATCAATTTATTAAGGAGGGACGTACATACGGCCCCTAAAATAATATAGAAAATATGGTTTACGCCCCTTATATCCGGAAATTACCAATAAGGTTGGCCAAACGACGGTATTTTTTTTCCAAGTTTGCCATTGGTCCGAGGATTCCATCCTCTGACTGCCTTCTAATTTCTTTTTATTTTTTTTGTTATTTCTTTAGCATTTCTTTAGTAGGGCAATGCTCGGAGTTTTAGGGGCACTACCCCAGCTGGCTGAGGTTTGAATCCTCATATCACCACCTGGACTTAGCAGAGTTAACGTTTAAGTCGGTCCGAGGTCCGAAGCCTTGGATTGCAACTTAAGTTTTTAAAAAAAAACCTGTGGTCCGAAAATTTCAACATCTGATCACTTGTCATTATTTGGAAAAAAAATCCATCCGAGGATTTGAACCTCGGACCGCTCTCTGATCCCATTTAAACCCGAAAATCCCATTTTTTTTTTCTCTCTCTCTCTCCAGCCACATTACCACAATTCCTGCGTGATTCCAAAAATCAGGTGAGTTTTTATATTTATTTATTTATTTACCCTTTTTTTAAAAATTTGGATTCTTAGATTTGAAGCTAGGGTTTTTCGAAGGGGAAGTTGCATTATTATATTTTAGGTTGCAATTGAAATGATATGGTCAGGGTTTCTAGAATCGATAATAGCTCCTGATAAAATAAACGAAAATCACAAAAAAGTATTAGGAGTAATCAACAAAATCATGAATTGTTTGTTTTGACATATGAAGGTTCTTTCTTGACCTGAAATCTAGTGGCAAATAAGTGGTTTAAGTGGTATGTTTTCATTTATAAAATAATTTATTTTTTTGATTTCGTTATTCTATAATGTGTCATGCTCAATTTGTAATAGCTCCTACCAATTTTTCAAAAATCTCCTAAAATCAAGAGTTATGGTCAAATTAGAATGAAAATGCTAAATTTTATTGGGTTTTATTTCGATTTTATCTTCTTTAACTGTCCTATGAAGATTTTTGGGGCTAGGACTTTAAATTTATTTAGTTGCATGAATTATATTTGATTTGCTAAGAATAGTGCTTTGATTTTATTATGAGAACATAAAAATAAAAATAAAAAAAATAGAAAAAAAAAAAAGTTGAATGGGTGGTTTATGATTTGATAATAGTGCATTGATTTGACTATGAGAAAATGAAGTAAAGTTGAATGCATGGTCTCTGTTTTTAGAATAGTGCTTTGATTTGATTATGAGAACAAGAAGAAAAGTTGGACGGTTTGTGATGTGAGAATAGTGCTTTGATTTTATTACGAGAACATGAAAAAAAGTTGAATAGAAAAGTTGAGAATACTGCTTCGATTTGAGACTGTGCCTTTGGTTTTATTTGACTTTGAAATATAACATATTCTATTCTTTTCTCATTAATAGATGACTTATGTAATGTTTATCTCATAATATTTGACTTTAATTTCATGACTCTTTCTGAATCCCCATGAATACTTGAATGAGTGGCTCGGAGATTGCCCCAGGGAGGAAAGACTTACGACAATGAAGTTCACTTGGTTGAAGTAGAATTTTATGGAATTATCCGAGGATGCCATAAAAGCAGATATTGAACAACATACGAGGGCTTACTTATTCTATTTGGTCAGCAACACTTATCTTTTCTAGTTCCAAGGGCAATTCCTAACTTTTTTCGACGATTTTGATGAGCCAATTGAGGATGCTATTACCCGTGATCTGTTACTCTATTTCAGGTAATAAACAATGATTTTAATTATTTTTAGATCATTTCTTTTCCGTCATGACAATACTATATTCGTGTTGTTAAAGTGGATGGGAGTCGTCTAGCCACCCATAAGATCGATTCATTCTCCATAGTAGGCTCACTAGGAGCTTGATATGCTGGTGCCTGAAAGGGTAATTGTAGCTTCATATATATTGTTTCACCATCTCTGTAAGTATATTTAGTGTAGTTTATAAAATTTTATGTCCTTATATTTGTAGGTATATTGGGACCCATATGAAGCAGAGAAAGACCTCGGCAATGAGGATGGAGATGGGAGTTAGAAGACGCACTTGCTTCTGCCACTGCATGCTACAAGGCATATATGGATTTTGATAATCTAGCTGAGAGGTACTTGGCGGATGGAGTGCTACACGAATTTGGATACAGCCAAACCGTTCATGAGAAGCCTGGTACATAGGAGTGGGCTGAGCGGTCTGCAAGTATGCTCAAAATTGTGAGACTGAGCTGAGACCGCAAATCACAAAATGGGAATGCCGCCATGATAACTATTAGCGAGCCAGTCCAGATACACATGGTGGGTTGCCATCGATACTGGTACGCCCAAGTCTCAATACCGAGGATTCATAATCCTGAGATGGAGCGCACTGATGCCCTTATAGAATTTTATTTATTTTTCCGTATAGAATTTTATTTATTGTGCCATAATTATTTATTTGTAAGCTAAATATGGGTGAGTAGGATTAAATGGAATGAATCGTTAGGATTTCGTAGGAGATTTTTAAGGTTTTCTAATTATTTAAGTTTTGTACTTAAAGTAAGGAGCTCCCTCTCGAAGAGGGTAGTCATCTTGTGAAGATAGAATATGTATTAAATATGAAGATATCATTGGGGATGAATTCCCTTGCAGATCTGAGAGTGTTAAGTCTCTCACTACTAAAGGTAGATTTTCTTGCAGATCCCGAGAGATGGATCCCCTTACAGAAAGACGTTCTCCCAGTAGGCTAGAGCCTATGATCGATTTCAATATTTGATCAATTTACAATATATTGAAACTGACTATTTCCTATTTCCCATGAGCCCTATAAACTTACACTAACTTTCCAGTCATGTTAGCAAACAAGGAAAATTGACTATTCTAATTTCGGACTGGGCGTAAAAAGTGATCACACGGGGCCATAGAGAACCCCGCTTTCACAAATGCCAAAAGATATTATACAGGAGTATACGGTCCATTTACTCCCGGGGTAAATTTTCATCTAGGATTATATTTCAACCTATAGATCAACCTCAGTGGACAAAAACTCCTAGTTGTACCTTTATGCATATGGAATATAGAGCCGAGGCTCTAAACAATCAAAGCAATGCGTACTTTCAAATAGTGTAAAGAAATATAGTTTCAATACTGGAAATCTTTGTGATTTCTTTAAAAGATATGTTCATCTTTAATTATAAAATTTAAAGCTTCAAAAATAGTGTAGATCGACCAGATCTAGAAAAAGTTAAATATCTTGAAAATTTACGGTCTAAAATTGTGTTGCAAGATGCATTATTTCCGAAACAATAAATCTATTTTTTTCACATGTCTACGTAGTTGATGTCGAGATGCTCAATTTGAGGAATTTGGGCATCAAACAACCTCTTCTAGTGAAATTTTGTAGTGCGCACGAATTAGATTGTTTAGAGCCTCAGCTCTATATAAACTTTTTCCATTAGAAAATAATGTTTGGAACAGGGACTACCCAATTTTTAGAGGGGGAGAACTGATTGTCATCTTAGTCAAATTTTAAATTTTATTTTCTTTTGAGAATAATCTAGTTGTTTTTTTAGTGGTTGCCAAAATTTAAGATTAAAAAAAGGAAAAAGTTTATTTAAAATTGCAACCCTGAAATGTAGAATTATTGATGCACCTCAAAAATTTATTGGAAATGGTTTTTTTAATATTGAAAAAACCTCTAATTGATCATCTCGACATTGTGATGTATGAAAATGAAAGAAAAAAAATATTTTGAATCCTAAAAATAGTCATTTTGTAATACATTATTTGGATTGTCCATTTTCAAAATTTTCATATGTTTATAAATCTGTTTGATTTTAACCATTTTTAGAGTTTACAATTTTATAATTAAATATGAAAATAAATTTAAAAATTTTCCTATAAATTTTTTTCACTAAAATTACATTTAGATATGAAAATAAATTTTAAAATAATCCTATAAATTTTTTTCACCAAAATTACATGATAAAATTGGAAGATACGCCTTAAATGGATTGTTTAAGGTTACAACCTTATAGAAACCACACCCTTAAAACAATTCTCCAAAGTAAACTTTTTTTCACAACATACCCTTCAAATAATTCTCCAAAGTAAATTTTTTTGACAAAAAAGAGAGAAGAGACGCACAACATGCTCCCACTGTAACATATCAAACTCGAGTCCAAATTTCCTCTTTAATGCATGACCATCTGAGCATCAATTTTCACACATGTTTTTGCAATTAGAATCTTTAAAAATACCCTAGGGTGGGTGCATTCGATCCAACCTCGAAATAAACTTTTCCTTCATAAGTAATTTAGGATCTTTAAAAATACTCTAGGGTGCATACGATCCAACCTCGAAATAGATTTTTCCTTCACAAGCTAGGAGGGGATTAAGAAACAGCCAGTTTTCATTCTCAACGGGGCAAACCGCACCACCTAAATCTTAAATCCCAATATTCAAGAACAGTACAACTTGAAATTCCACGAATAAGAAGATAAATAATGATTTTCTAATTGAATAATATACGAATGATATCGAACGATGAAAGATGATAATAGACTCCATTGTTGCCACCAAAAATTGTAGTTTTCGACACCAAAACCATTTCATTTTACAATTCACAAATTTATGATCGAGTTACAATCCCATAGTTTGGAGAAACTGTGAACCATATGGAGGAGTGGTTTAGCTATCTCCTGAAAGGGAGAACCCATATTCTTGAACCACCCAACAGGCTTGTTTTTCTTTTTTGGACAAGGGCGAGAACATTAATTGTTGAAACACTAATTTATACAACTGTCAGGCCAGTGACAAAAATTGTACTATCTTCTATGGTCCCTAGAGAAGAACGGATGCCTTAGGGCTTCAGCAGCTGTGAGCCGATCTTCTGGATCATACTTGAGGAGGCCCTGTAATAGGTCAATGAGGTCCCCAGCTGAGTGGTCAACATGTTGCATGACCAGGTTCTGAAAACGAACACAAATCCATCAAATAAGTTTAGCAGAAAGCAATCGCGTAAAACATTATTGATTGCTTATCATTAAATTTGAACCCCACTCCTCAAGGATTAAGTGATGACATACACACCCAAATCCACCAAATTAGTTATGTAAAACAATAAAAGTAAAGCTTAATCAATTGCCCAAACAGTGATTAAAAAAATCACCGATTCAGATCGGGAATTGCCCAAGAACAATTTTGCCCAAATCCACCAAATTAGTTATCCAAAACTATAAGAGTAAAAGCTTAATCTATTGGCCCAAACAGTGATTAAAAATATCACCGATTCAGATCGGGAATTGCCCAAGAACGATTTTGTTCAAACTCTGAATTGGCGGTCGAGTTGATACAATATTATATGGTACACAATATATTATGCATATAAATCATAACACAAACCTTAAATAGCTTATAGTTTACAACATATATTATATGCTTCTCTTTTTTTTTTTCCTTTGCCAGATCACTTATCTGGATCACTTATCCAGGCAGATCAGGTAAGGGTCGTTGGGTGCGCAATCCACCATAACAAACTTTGTTTTTTAGGACATTGGGCTCACTTATCCAGGCTAGGTAAGGCTGATCAAGTAGGAGTCGTTGGGCCGCAACGAATTTTTTTTAGGGCATTTGGCTTGATCAGGAGTTGTTGGGTGGGCAATCCACCACAAGGATCTTTTTTAAGGACATTGGGCCTAAGTCTGAACCCAGTGCACCACTGCTGGGACCGTAATTAGTACAGTCTGAACCCAGTGCACCACTACTGGGACCATAATTAGTACCATATAACCAGTGTTTCAAAAAGCATTACAAAAATGATCAGGGCCCCTGGGCAGGGCACAGGCCGCCCGCCCAAACGACTGCCTGGTGCCTAGGCCAGTGCCCAGGCTTAGGCCTAAGCCGGGGAGCAGGACCACACGGCCGCCCAGGAGCTGGGCAGACTATAGTAAACTTTACCGCATGTTAAGCTGGAGAGCTCTAATGCCAACTAGTGGATTGATCACAATGTACCTGGAGACGAGGAAGCTTCCAAACAGCTCTGATGCTTTCCCTTGAAGTGGCACCCTCAGGCCAATCCAGTTTTGCACCTCTTCTTAGATACTTCTCAGCATGTCGACTGTAAGGGAGAAAATAGAAATAACAGAAGCCTTAGTGAGAATTTGTAACATATGATGACTGTTTTTCGTTGGAAAATGAATGAGAAGCCCCACTTACTCTGCTCTCTTCAACATGTGCTGAGGCAGAGAGCCTAACACCTTTTCCATCATGGCTAGGTGCTCTAGATTTTCATGGGTTTGAAAGAGTGCTTCACCCTACATAATACCAGAAAGGAGAGTTAATAGAGCGATCACAGGATAATCTTTTTCTTTTTGGTTCCCTTTTTTTTAAATAACATGAATAATTATGTACTAAAAAAATAACTGAAGGCTCAAATCACATGGGTTAAGACATTTCAATCATGTGGCTTTTAAGATCTTAAATCCTAATATAGAATTCGGAACTAAACACCAGATCAGCTGAAACTTACAGAGCAAAGCTCCACCAAAATGCAACCCACACTCCATATATCACAGGGATAACTCCATCCAAGGCCTACATAAAAATTATACAAGAGACATGCATAGAATCAAGTACAAACTGCAAAGAAAAATATTTAAAAAAAAAAGCTACAAAAACGAATTACTAAAAAAAATGTCAACAGAAAATGACATGGTACATACCTAAAATCACCTCAGGTGCGCGATAATGACGTGTGGATACAACATAACTATGATCCTGATGCTCATAAGTCGTACTCCCAAAATCAATGACCTTGATTGAACTTGATTTTGGTAATCTCTTAAAATAGGATCCATCCTTGGGAGAACGTGATGGAACCTGCAAAGGTTCACGGAAAATGACAAGGTAGCGTCAATGACAAAATGCAAAGAATATGTATAATAGCTCAAAAACCAATCCAGTCATAATCAGTTTGTCACTAAGCACAACCTTCGGGTAAAACAAAGATCTTTTAAATGAACATTTCCTGGGTTTTTATAGATCAGGATCTCTATAATTTACCTTGTAGTCAGGAACTCTTACATACTCAGGAGAAACAAGAAGTATGTTTTCTGGCTTCAAGTCGGTGTGTATAAGGCACAAATTGTGCATAACTGCCATAATCAAGACAAGCAACAACTCAGTTACATGATCCAAGTAAAGGAAAGATAACAACCATAATTTTTGGCACTATCAAATAAGTGCAAACCATTGGCCATAAATGCCAGATTATATAAACTAGTCCTAAACGGTGCTCATACAGCTTACAAAAAGATTTAGTAAGATGTTATATAGTGAAAGATAAAGAATCTACTCAAATTTCCCCTCCACAATGTAGAAAATAGAAAAACTGGGGAAGTATTGTCTACACACATGCAACACATTCCAACAGTTGTCTGCCAAGCTCGCGAACTAGATCAATGGGAAATGAGCGATAATTGTTTTTCCGTAGAAAATCGTATAAGCTTGGTCCAAGCTTCTCACAGACCTGTTAAAACCATTTCAATCCACTACAATTTTAACTCCCAATTCAATTGGGCAGTTGGCGGTAATTATTGTCATAGCAAATTAATCAAGCAGGCAAATACCATCAAATACTTACAATACAAATATGGTTACGATAGTCAAACCAGTTCCGTATTTGCACACAACTGCAAGGAATAAACCCGCTTACAAAAGATTCCCCTTAAACATCCTACAACCATTAAATGGAAGAGGTAGCAACAGTGTGGAAGATTGAAAAGAATCAAGCAGAAAAGACCTACCGGCTTCCACTCTTATCATGTTTTGCAAGTTGTTGAAGCACATCAATTTCAATCATTGCCGCCTCTCGATACTTCTTTATCCCACGAACAATTTTTATGGCAACCATCTCTTTCCTTTCCCTGTCCCAGCATTCCAGGACCTGCCCAAACGTGCCTGAAGAAAAGGAAGAAAAGACAAAAGCATGGAACTCAGTAAACATAGTTCCCCAAGGCCCAATAGGACAACCAAAAAACCGTGGCATTACAAACAATGAGAAGCTAAAATTTTTAAGAACCTATCAGTCCAATCACCTGACAGTAAAGAAGAAAAATAAAAACAGAATAATAGACAGCTGCAACACTGAAAAAACTACACTAACCTTCACCAATTTTGCTGTGAATCTTATCTGCAATGCAACAGAATAAAAAACATTAGTCAATCAATATGACAAAGTGACTAAAGTAACACCTAAACAATTAATCAAGAGATTTTTTAAACCACTAAAAAGAAGTGTAAAACTAATATTGTTAAACACACCATGACACCAAAAGTGAATGCCTTGGTCTTCATTTTTTCAAAGATTCAATATAAAAGGTAGTTTTGATGTGCAAGCAAGATTGGAAAACAAGATAGGAAACTTCAGAAATTTCAATGACAAGGGGAAATCGAAAAAAAATATTTCCAAGCTTTCTATGTAATAAAAGTTTGAACATGGGGAAGCTATGCAAATTCACCACACAGGACCATGCAACAAGCAAGTGAAAAGTGTATCCTACACAAAACATGCAGACAAACCTACTATGGGACTTGCTTATGCAAATGAAACATATGAACAAGCCCTCATGCATGACAAAATGCACATTAAAAATATTTCATTAAAATTTTACATCAGTCCACAAGCACAAAAAACCATCTTTTAGGCTGTAAATAGTTAATGACTGTGATAATTACCAAAGATTCAGAAAAGTAACCATCAAAGAGAGCTTCAAAAACAAAAGCCAAAAAAAAACCCAGTTAAACCCTCAGAGAAAACACATTCAAGATATGAAAACACGCTTGACATAAAATCCCACATCAAGTTACATATAAAAAATGTGAAAACACGCTTGACATAAAATCCCTCCTCAAGTTACATACAAAAAATGAACCAAAAATAGAAAATTTTCCTTTAGAGGACGAAAAAAGAAGAAAACATGGGCATACAGATGTCAGAAATTTGCTGCAAGCTCCTGACACATTTTAAAAAGGGCAAAACATATCTATATTTAATTCAAATGTCAAAGAGAAAAACAGGAATGGGAACATACACGGACATAGATCACCAAACACAAGACAATAGTAGACATAAAAGCCCCCTATAGATGCATGTAAGTGCAGGATAAAGCAGGCTTATACACAAATGCAATTTGGTCTCAAAATTTATCCCACCAATCTATACAAGATTAAACAAACATTTTGTAAGCAAAAAGACGATGATGCCAATAAGATAAAGGAAAAAAATAGAACAACAGCCAAATACGATGAAGGAAAAAAGAAAACATCAAATTCTGCCAAAGATAACTTCCATAAATCACGCATAGAAAATTTTAAGAGGTAAATTACTGATCACTTACATTTTTTGTAGAATCCAATTGATTATTCAAATAAACTTAAATATTTTTTTTTTTAATATGAAATCATTACAAAGAAATGAGTATTCAGAATCAAAATGAAATGCAAAAATTGTGAATCAAACATTCAGAAAACAACAATACATCAGCGCAAGCCACTCTAGGATATGAAAAAGGTAAGAAAACGATTCAATAAATCAAAGCAGTTACTATGGGTAAATGATGACGGGTGAATATGAGTAATTACAGCGAGAGGTCAAATTGTCCCCTAGCGCAAACACGTAATGTCCATCTTTGTCATCCTCTCGCCAAGGTGGAGAACCATTTCGAGACACTCCCTTGACATAAATAGTAGAAGAAGAGGTAGGAAGACAAGTATGATGATTCGTCGGCGACGTCACCACCACACCATTCTCATGAAAATCACCATGCCCACAATACATTCCATTCTGAGCCTACACAAATCCATCCATTCATTTTCCACTCATAATCAAAAGTTAATTATAACCCCAAGTTACCCTTTTTTTTTTTCTCATCCTTCACCTAAAAATCCAACCACACCATGAATAAGTTTTGTTAATGCAAAATCATAAATCTAAGCCTTCCCCTTACCCCATCCCAAATCCCATCTACCTTATCTCCATCAATCAGTTTTTGGGGGAAAGTCTCCACCAATAAATTGAATACATCATTGAAAAATATAAACAAGAATTGCAAAACATATGAAATCCACCATGAGACCTAGATCTAACAAAACATTAGCAGATCTGCAAATCAGGTAAAATTAAACAAAGAAGTTAAGATATCAGATCATACCCACTAAATGATAAAAGACAATAAAAAGCTCCATGAGAAAGAGATGATTAAAGAGATCTACCTTTGGAGGAGCCTGAGCTATGTCCCAAGCTAACCTTGGCCTCTTTCTAGGGCGCTTGTCCATGTGGGTGTGAGGAAACTCAGTCAGATATTCCATTTCCATCGCGATTTCAACAATTTGCAGAATGAAATTAACAAGAGCGGGATCTGAGAGAGAAATCGAATAACGATAATGAAAAAAAAAAAAATTTGGAGGGCAAATAAATAAATAAAAAAAAACCCTAAACAAGAGAAGGGAGGCGGGGCAGAAAGTAGAAAGAGAAAGCTGAGAATTGATCAAGAAGGAACCCCAAGACAAACGGATGATCCGATTCAGAAACAAAATATAAGAAAGGGAGAAGAAACCCTAATGAAATAGACGACGAAACAGAGATCGAGAGGGAGAGAACGACGACAAGAAACCCTAGAAGGATATGTCTGGTTTGATTGTGATTCCAGGGAACGGTGGTTGATGCTCTATCTCTAGGGATCCTTGTAACCCTACATTTGACCATGGTTAATTATTAACTGGGGTTTACCTGGCGTTAGGTTTTCTTTTGGCGTCTATTCTCCGCGGTACCCTCAGGTGATAAAAAGCCAGCACGATACCTACGCTTTACACGTTGAGTATACAATGGATGGGGTTCCTATGAGTCCGCCAACCCATATGTACATATGCGGCCCATATCTAAAATCCATTTCAAAGATGGAAATTTTATTTATTATTTTTTTTAGAGTCATCGTATAGACAAATTGTCTACGAATATGAAACGAATCTAAAATTTTTAAATTCAAAAGAAAATTTTTTGTTGTTTTTTGGTGCATCATCTTTATGGCATTTATAGACGGTACACTTTGTATAGCGCCCATCTTTATGCTGTACATATGTGAATCAGTCGGCACTTGCGTCTCCAGACTTGAGTGGCAATTTTCTCCATACAAATAGGAAGTTCAAGATTTTGGAAGGGGGATGGCTTACATATGAATGTAGTGTTTCAAAAAAAAAAACATAGGGTTATTATGTGGGGAAGACAAGCCCCTACCTGTTTCTTTAGAGAAATTTGCATAAAACCCTCAAACATGGACTTTTAAAGCAATTTATCTAGACTTAATTTTTCTAACAACTTTTTCTCCAAAGCCATTTTTCCTAGCAAATAACCCCAACTTAAAAAAAAGATTAAAATACCCTTTCTTTACCTCACACATTGACCTAACTTAATTATTTGTCATCACCTCTTTCTACTGAAGAAGCACCCCGTCTACCTCTCTCTCGCTCTCTCTCTCTTCACATCGGCCCGAGCTCCCTCGCTCCCGTTCTGTCTCCCCCAAACTAGGCCCGAGCTCCATTTCTCTCGGTCTTTCTCCCCCAAACCAAGCCCGAGCTCCCTCTCTCTCACTCTCTCTTCCGAAGCAAGCCCTAGCTTTTCCCTCTCCTTCTATGAAGCATATAGCAGCCTGAGAACGTACCCTCTCTCTCGATCTCTCTATCCGAATCTAAGGCCCGAGCTCTCCTATCTCTCGCTCTCTCTCTCTACCAAGGACCCACTACCCGATCTCTTACTAACTCTGTGAAACAGCTCGAGCTATCGATTTCTCAGCCCCAGCCCCAGCCCAAGCACCCGAAGCCCGAGCTTGATTTGTAGCTCAATCTCTTAGCCCCAAATCAGCCCATCAAATGTATGAAAAAGTATTTTATTTATTTTTTATAAAAATAAAGAATAAATTGTTGTCACATTCTTAGCCCCAAATCATTCCCATATTCTCTTTTTCAATAATGTTTACATTTCCATATGCTTTTCTCTTTGATCCCGCATGAAATTTTTCCTTTTTGGATTTTATTTAGGCAAATTATTGATTATATATATTGTTGTCACATTCGTTTCGTGGCTAGATAGATTCTTTATACATACATTGAAGATTTAAATCGGAGAGCAGAAATTTAATCCATGTACATATGTTTCTCACTCTCGATTATCCACTCTGTTAAAACTATTTTAAAGAATAGATAATTAGTTTGAATGTGGTATCTTTTAGGGCTTGAATGTTATTGGTAGTAGTAGATTGTTTTTCCATATTATATATTTATTTTGTATTGATTATCCTCTTCGTTATTGGTAGGGTTTGAATGTGGTATCATGTATCATGTCGGTTATCCTCTTGATTATCCTCTTTATTAACACTTTTTTTCTCTATTGTAATTTGAGGTCTTGAATGTTATCGGTGGGTTGTATTTGGGTTTGTTTTGCTGTAAATTTTGAGTATGAATGATCCATTCTATTTCTCTTGTTAAAATTTAGTTTGTCATTTAAAAAAAAAAGTATGCCTAGCTCTTGTTAATTTTAGTAGTAGCTATTGTTTTTGTAGGTTATATACCCCCCAACAATATGCCTACCTTTTGTTAAAATTTAATTGTAGCTCATTGAAAAAAATCTAGCAACATGCCAAACTTAGGCAAGTTCAAGGCTAGTATTAAGATGTTGTAATGCAATGTGTGGAGTGTAAATTATTACAAATCTTCTGCAATACAAGAGAAAATGGGTGATAGCAGCTTGATTTATTATATTTTTTATGGAGAACTCTGATCAAGTGTCGATGAGACTTTAGATTATATTGGTGGTGATGCATGTACATTTATGATTGACAGTAGAACTAGGTTAGATGACATGCAAAAATACATAGCAGAGAGGTTCTCACTTGACATCCACTTGATATCTTTAAGGTATTTTGTCATGAGAAATAAAAGTTTTATTGTGAACTTATACATTGACGATGATATTGTTAGTATGTTTAACGCCTATGAAGGTGAGAATCAAGTGTTCGTCTATGTATTTGATGGGAGTGAACGGAAGGGCAGAAGTACTTCACATAATACTATGGCAGTCGAAGAGGTCAGACCCCCACAATCCTCTAATGTTTTGGTCTCTGGCTCCGAAATGCATCAAGGTTGCTTAGCACATGGGATAATGTACTTTCTGGGATAGGGCAGCAGTTTGAATCTTTAGAAAATTTTCGAGAAACCCTTAGCAAGTTTGCTATAGCAAACCATTTCACATATCGTCTTGTTAAAAATGAGGGGTATCACATAATGGTAAATTACAAGGGTGATGGATACAAATGAGAGATATATGCTGCGACGCTTGGCAGGATAAGTGTTTTTAGAATCAAAACATGGAAAATAAATCACTCATGAAATATTGGGAGAAGCAATAATGTACAAAGAATAACATCACATAAGTTTGTTGCATCTTTAATCAAGGATAAATTAAGTGCCTTGCACATTACGAGGCTAACAAAATCATGAGTGATATGTCTCGAGATTATGGGTTAGAATTACCCAATTGGAAGGCTTGGCGAGGAAAAGAAATGACCATCAAAGACATACATGGTTCGAAAGAATACACATACAACCAGTTACCAGCATATGTAAACCGTGTGATGGAGACGAATCCTAATAGTTATACGACAGAACTAGTATGGCTAGGTAGTAGATTTCGGTGATTATTCTTAAGCTTTTATGAGTTAATACATGACTTAAAAAATGGTTGTCATCTACTTCTATTTCTTGATGGGACATCACTGAAAGCACGATACCTTGATACTCTACTCGCTGCCAACTAACTAGATGGGGAAGGACAAATGTTTCCCGTTGCATTCACAATTGTGGATAACGAAAGTACCGATAATTGGTTATGGTTTATGGAATCTCTTAAGATTGCTATTGGGACGGATCGTGAAATCACTTTTCTATCAAATAGATACCTTGGTCTAGTTGATACTGTCTGTCAAGTTTTTTAGAATGCCATCATGCCTTTTGTGAGCGCTATTTAGTGGAGAATTTCAATAAGAAAGGAGAACAAATATCTAATGATATTAAGAAGGCAGTTGTATGTGTCTTTATAATAGCATGTAGAGCATATAAGTAACAATAGTATTTTGATAAGATGATGGAAATTAGATTACATTTTGATGACACATTCAAGTGGTTTATGAAAGCATCACCAAAACGTTGGGCTACATCACAGTTCAAAGGTAATCGATATGACCAAGTAACAACCAATGTGGCTGAGTCATATAACAAGTGGATTCTAGAAGCACGATATATGTCAATGCTCCAATGCGTTGACTTAATTAGGAGATAAATCATGAAACTAATGGTCACTCGCAACTTGAAAGTTGAAACCTAGACTACAACACTTACCTTGATGGCCCAAAACGAATTAAGAAAGGTCACAAAGAAATCCCTTTCTACTGTGGCATCAAATGGAGCAGTGTATGAAGCAATGGATGATCGCATGAATTATAAAATAGATATTATTGCACGAGACGGTGAATGCCGGGGTTGGCAAATAATGAGTTTGCCTTGCAAGCATGCTTGTAAAGCCCTTGAATAGGGATCCTGTTGACTATTGTGAAGAATATTTTACAATTGCAAAATTCCATGAAACATATTTCTTAGCTATCATGCCAATTACATTGATCGACTTGTCTATACGTAGTTTACGTGGACAACGTTCTCCAGCGGGAGTAAGAGTGCTTCCACCTCATTCAAGGCGCCACCCTGGCCGACCTAAAAAGAAACGCATCAAGTCGCAAGAAGTACCAGTGCGACTTATTCACTGTAGTTGATGCAAATGAACTGGTCATAATATGACAACATGTAAAGCACCCACTTGAAGGCATATACTTGTAGTTATCTTATTTATTATGTTTTTTTAATTTGTAGCATCCACTTATGTGAAATTTTGTTAGTACATATATTAATAGTGTTTGATTTTAGTGTTTGTTCCACTTCTGTTAATTTTGCGTCTTTGGGGCACATATACTTATATTTGTTTATTTTAGTATTCTCTTTTTTGCTAGTACATATATTATTCTCTTTTTTGTTTTTTTGGAGCATCCACTTGTGGTTATTTTTTGCTAATTCATATGTACATATTCTCTTAATTGATGTATTGTGCACATGTAAAACTCTGATAATATAAATATATTTAGCAATGCAAGACCCAAAACAGTCAAGATGAGCAAGAGGCCTATCCACTTCGTCTGATAAAAGGGAAAATGTGTGATAATCTATTAAAGTTCATGATTAACATTAATTAGGTAATTATTATATTGCTAATAATTATTGTCATTTCTTATTGAACTTCATTTTAGAAGAAATTTTTTTTTGTATTAATGAATTAACTAAAGACCCTAGGAAAATAGGAGTTAGATCCACGATAGGTAGCTTTAGTTGAAAAGATCAAATTGAGCTCCTTGGTAGACATTGGGGTCTCCCATATCGATTGCAGTTTATTGAGGGCCTTTATAGAGAAATGGTACAATGTGATAAAAACCGCACATTTAACTTTTGGTGAGATGGCTCCAACCCTATACAATGTGTGGCATATATTAAGGATACCCGTGATAGGTGAGCCTATAACAAACATCAATCTTAAAGACTACAGGGCCTTCATCATGGAGTCTTTGAGAGA